TAACTTTAATTAATTTAATTCTTACGCTTTGGGCCAGAAACTTTAAAATAATCGGGAGTTTTTTTTAAATTCTCATAATGCCTTGGCCAGTAAATTTAATTAGGTCAGCCTTTCTTTAATTCTCATGCTCCTTTTTAAAATTCTTGTATTTCGAACCAGGAATTTCAACTAATCGATTTTTTTTTAATTCTCGTGCATTGAGCAAAAGACTTTAATCAGATAAGATAAATCGCTCATACTTTTGCTACAAACTTTAATCGATCGGTTACTTTAAATCAGAACTTTAATTAGTTGTGGTTAATGCTTTTTCATTACATTAAATTTGATTAACATTACCGATTAATAGCATTTTAGAGTAGACTTATTAAACATTATTGAATGTAATGTTAATGCTTATGTTGCTGCAATTTTCGATAGAAATTTTTGGGACGACTGATTTTTGATTATCTGTTTCATCTTCAAGTGCGTTAGATGTTTTACTTCGCTTAATTGGAATTAAATCTGTTGCCTTAGAAAATCCTAAAAAAAAAAACTTATTAATTACAACTTAAATAAAACAATTACAATACCGCATTACAGTACCGATTTGATTATTATGGATTGACGTTGAGTCTTTCATTGCAGGGGGTTCTAATTCATAATAAATATTAAGTACTGTACATATATTACAATTTAAAAAAAAACTTAAAATGTATAAATATGAATTACCCGCTTCTTCAATTGGAATTAAATAAGATACATTGTCCAGCTTGCGCTTTAGAGATTGATGTTGATAAGCAGATACACCAGCGATAGTTTTATGTCGAGAAAAAATCATCTGCTCATCAAGCGTTACACCAGATTCTACAAGACTATGAATACCTGTTGAACACATTGAATGATTCGTAATCGTATGACCTTTAAAATCCAATTTTGCATCTTTACACATTGAATGCATCATTGTATCGTGTGATCCTTTTCCTAATTTAGTGGGTAAATACCATTCACACAATAAATTTTTTTGGGTGTATTTAGTGTAACAAAAAAAAATCATCCTCTGTATTATTTGGACGTTTGGTCAAGTACTTTTTAATATCTGCCACTGGTGTATACATATTTCCAGAAATGTCAGGTGGTATAAAGCTAGAACCTGCTTTAGCATATGGATCCTTAATACCACCTGCATGATTTTTTTCCTTAGGTAATTCAAGTTGCATCCCGCCATTCTCCAACTCTTTGAGCCAAGAAGCTTTCAAATGTTTAGCGTCGCCACCTCTTAAGCAACACAGTAATGACAACCAAAGCCAAACCCGTCGCATAAGACCTTTAGGATCATTAATTGAAGTTGCAGATGAGTCAAGCAATAACTTAATTTCATCAGTCTCTAAAGGATCTGATTGTTTACGATTTTTTATCTCCTTTTTTCAACGATTGATTTCATACGACCATCCAATGTTCTATGCAAAATTTTAAATTTATGCTTATCAAATAAATTAATGGCTCTTATATTTTCAAAAGCTTCAGAAATTCCCCGTGCAATTGCGCAAAAGCCAGTATAAAGTGAAGAGGCTTTATATTCTTGACCATTTGACTTACGAACTTCAACTATGAATTGTTCAAGCTGTTCAGATATTGTTTTGTCATCAAGTGCTTTAAGATCGTCTAAA